TATATATATATATATATATATATATATATATATATATATATGTATATATATAATCAGGGAGGAAGAGCATCAGGCCGTTGGCGTGGGTGTGATCGAGGGAAGAAGAGGTAACAGGGAGGTTGCCGTGGTCCGTGGTCTGTTCGCTGTTTGTGTTTTTAATTTTCCCAGGCCGTTTTGTATGCAGATATCTAGCGTAATTTACCGGGTGAGTGGGGGAGGGAGGGCGTGACGGAGGGGTGTACGTGTGGCGGATAGCCAGCCTCGTTGGTACACTGCTCGCTGCTCCCTGCCGACAGAGCCGAGCATTCTGTTACCGTTGTCGCAGCTGCAAACATTATCGAATCTTCGCGCTACGTCGCGTCGGTCTTTTTCCGCGTTCTTCCTGATATTATATTAATAAATTAATATCGTTCGTACGATGTCGAGGTCTCCACTCGCACCACCACCTGTAGAGAAAGAATTTACCTCAAGTATTTACTTAAATTTAACCTTTACGGCAACGCAAAGGTTATTTTTCTTAGATCGTTAAATCGTTAACTCGTCAGATCATTTTTCGACAAGAAACGCGAAATAAATCAGCAGAAAGTAATTTTATTTAATCGTTAAGAGAAAAAAAAAAATTAATCAATTCCAACGAAAATAATAGTTGAATTATTCACCCAGTGTGAAAATTGGGTAAACAATTGGTGTAAATATTTATCGGCAATTAAACGGTAGAGAACTGATACACGATCAAGTTCTGGTCTCGGGAAACTAGAATCGTGTTAGCAAGAACTTCGTAATGCTTTCTTACTTGTGGCTGGAGTCGCATCCTATCCAAATAAGGACAGAGAATGGTTTTTCTTGGAATTGGCAAAGACGCCAGCACGGCAGATGGAGGAAAACTGGCCAGCGCGTTACGCCGAGCCACGCCGCGCCGATCCGGCACGCTTCGCACGCGGGGCAAGAACTTAATTATCTGTGAAACAATAGCCTGCGAATTATGATTATTACCCAGGTAGCCTTGCGAGGAACCCCGAGGGTAGCACGGTCTATCCGTGGTGATAAAAGTTGCGAGCGTAAATAGAGGGATTCAGTTTCGTTCGCCCAAGGTCCCTTCGTGAGCAGAATTGTGAAACCACCGATGAGTTTCTCTCCTCGTCCGTTCTTCCCTTTCTTTTTCGTTTATCCGACTCCCAAGGATGATTCGCAGCACTATCCCATTTTAAACCTATATTAACCTATATTTTTCTTTGGATAAATTCCATTGCAAAACGAATGTTCCATTCCAAGGACATTCAAGTTGGCCTTTGCAATATATTGCCTCTGCTAGTATTGCGTTACTTGGCTTGTTAGGGTGGCATCTTGCTTACTTTACAGAACACGATAAGTTATTCATACGTGCCGAAGATGCCGCGAATATAATTCCTGTGCCTGGTGTATTGAACCTTGCTGCGTGGTGCTTATAATACTTCGATCTATGTGTGGGACGTGGAACGCCAAAGTGTAACCGGATTTTCGCTTTCATTGAAAAGTGAATAAATATACGATTGGCGTGTATGGCTGCATGCAACACGTCTATAATCTTCAGGAAAATCCACTCCGGTAACTCTTAACGAGTTTACCGAGCGGCGAACCATCTAAGGAGTTAGAGGGACCTAAGAGTTGTTTACGAAGCCACGAAATCAAATTCCGCCGATCTACCTTCGATGCAAATGAAACTTTACGAAATTGGTTCGGAAGAGATTTATCCACTTAGACGGCGCTACTCGTGCGTAAAGGAGCAAGAGGGACCGAGGCAAGCAGCGCCACGGTTCAGGGTGACTCCACTAGCTCTGACGCTGCCTGGGAAATATGATAATGCCTGTGGCGACGACAAGACGAATGGCTTCCTCTATTCCTGTGCTCGTACCATCGTGGTTAACTTGCTGATTGGTCGTTGCCTCATAGTGAAACCAATTTTTCGACGTGCACGCGGCCTTTCGCAGCCGGCGTATATCGGACGCGTTTTGTCGTATTTCATCGACCTCCCTCTGTTTTTCTGTTTGTTGACCGGGCCATTCGCCCTTCTCGATACCGTGATAATTCCTCACCTATGTTTAGCCGTAAAAGATGTTGAGCCAAGTACAGACGCTTTTGGATCGTTGGTCGTTTCAGTTCCGCGCAAATAACTTTATTTTCGCTCGTGTAAAATCTGTTCCTCGATCATTTTCTACATGTCTCGTTAGTTAGTTTGCCTGCAGCCGAATCGAATCAATTGAATGTGAAATTTTGAAACAGGAACAGAATTACTCCGTTGCACGTGTGAAAATAATTATTGCCTGGTCATTGATAAATTTTTAATAGGATTCAGGCACTTTGAAATTTTCACCCCAAAATGTTCAACATTCAAATTTATCGATTACAGATACTTTACTCATTCGTCATAGTGCTCGAATTTAATTATGACCGGATTTTCATTAATATTGGCGAATTTCTAGAATTCTTAAATTAGGAATCACTATTTTGAGGATTTACGCTATGAATGGATACTTCTTCAATCTGATTAGATTTTTTATTCATTTCTGGACATTGTCGCCGCTTATTAACAGTAAATTCGTATCACAGATAGACTGTTTGATTGTATAATTAAGCCATCGGTGTCGATAATTCTAAAACATAGTTATTTTACGGTGTTTGCACAATGTAAGTTTTAATCCGTTAACACATATAAAGTTAAGAGAGATCTATACGTAAACCATGATGTAGCTTTCGAAGTTTCATACGCCACGAGAATCGAATTGCTGACCCGAAGGCGTCGTTGTGGGATTTCAATTAGTCCCCTGTCCCTTCTACGAGCAATCGTGCTATCCTTTTGCCCTCATTGATCCATCCTTAACCTCCATTCATTCATTATCCCTTTCCACCCACTTACAAAGTTCCATTTCTACCATTTAGATTACCCACGATCTTAATTTGAATATTCACGTTAACGATGGTTTTGTAAAATTAAAATCTATTATTATCCTTATTGAATTTTATTTTCAAATTAACTTTCTCAATTCAGTTATGTACAGAAAGCGAGTAAAAATTTCGAGATAATTCCCCCTTTCGATAGATTCTTACACGAAATACTGAACAATTCATAACTTCTCATACACATACACGTATTCGTCTTATTCGCAATTGATTTTCTAACTCTTACGAACAATGTTTGTTCCATTTACCGCGGACGTTCATTTACGCACGATAATCTTTTAAAACGGACTGATATTTCATGAAATAATTCTTATTTTTAATAACTGCAACAGATTTCCGTTCGTATTGAAATGATGCCTGATTTTGTTTCAATCGAAATGTAAAAGGCATATTCTAGAAAGGAAAGAAAGTGCTCGCGCTGAATAACCGTGTAACGCGATAACGAATGAAACACAATATTGTTATTGCAGTGGGAGTTGCGAAAAATTTTAATGACGTTAAAAAAATTCCATATCACATTCTAAATTGGAATTTCTGCGGTCATATACGTTTAATTTAGATTTTTCATCAGTTTCGCTAATTAAAATGGATATGGTAGTTGTTTCAGTAGGCGATCGATATCCGTTAATATTCGTTGGAAGAACGTATCGGTGTAAAATAGACGAATCGTTCGATTATCGGTTCTATCATATCGAAATAATAATAAGGACGAGCATTCAATAACTTGTTCCGAATGATTCTGGCGAGCAATTAATGTTCGTTAATCTGATTGTAATGACGATTTTATGCTCGATGTAGGCAAGCGACTTTTGTGACTTTGCACCGATAACACAGCATTAATGTGGTTATATTCAGAAATGGTAGCATTGATAATGGAATAATCATATCGTGAAACAGAATGATTGCATATATGAAAAAGTGAAAATACATTTATATTGTTCGTGAAAAATGGGGAAAAATACGTAATGCATTGAGTCATAGTTTTTTATTTATTTTGTCACTCTCAAATGTTTATGGAAAACGTTCGAACGATTTTGTCAAATTATAATTGCAACCAAATTTGAATATTTTAAATGATATTTATGTCGATGCGTTTCAGAGTAAAAAGTATATACTTGTGATTTGTAAGACAAGATGTTGCACAAACATCAACGACATGAACATCTCTCGGATATCTACATAAATAAATCGATCGGAAATAGGAAAGAGTACGTCATTATATTCATTAGAGCTCGTCCAAGCAGATAAAAGTTGGCGGAATAATGGTGCTCTGCGTTATTAATGATCCCTGGTAATCTCTTCGTCTCTCCCACCACATATTCCACCGTTCGCTCCGATACCTATATTCACGAACGAACTTTCTCTCGTGCATTTGCAGCCCCAAATTTGTTTCAAACCCATTGCATCAGAGTTAAGGCTCGTCCGATTCGTTCAGGCTATTATCCTTAACTGCATCCTAGCAATCATACGAACCCATTGTTTCATAGAATGGTTTTAGTTTTAATGTTTTTGAATTTGTTTCTATCCTGCGTTGTATCTATGATATGACGTATACCGCGGATATCGCGATATTGAATCTATAAAATGTATCAATCGAACCCAGCAAAAATTGCTTGATTTTTCAGCTGCACGCTGAAAACTGCCGAACGTTACAACGTTACATGTGTAATAGAAAGCTTTGTTAGAACATTGGCCTTTGTTCCCAAGTTTTTGATATATGTCTTGATATTGCACAAACTTTCATTCCAAAAGTTGGAGTTAAAGCGATTCTCAATGATTTGAGGAATTTGTTCGTTGTTCAAAGATATATTTATGATTTCTACAATTCTAGCATGTAGGAGGATAATTTTCAATAATTTACAACGTTGGCGAGTAAAATTTGTTCGAAGAACGCTTATCTATGCTCCGTACATTAGCACAACAGTATTTTTTTCAGTTTATTCCAGAGCAATGTCTGGAATGTTCGAATCTTTGAAAGAATCATTAGCATAATAATCACGTATCTTCGCAAAGTTTGTGAAATTCTCTTGAGTAACGGTCGACAGGTGTAGATAAATGGTCCTTCCTTAGACCTCGGGACTGTTCGTTCATTCGAACGGCCTATATATAGTATCCAGCAGCGCCATTGTAGCGACGAATGGGCGTCGTAAAGAGTTTAACAACGCCGCGTCGAGAACAGAAAGTTTCCCTTAAGACCCTTACGGAATCGTTAACTGCGCGTATTTTAGAACAGTTGTAAAGACTACAGAGGAAAGGGAATCCATGGAATTGGAATCAGTCCGCGTTGAAAACTGAGAACGGTCCGAGGAAAAATATTTAAGTAGTGACGCGCCCTGCCCGCGAACAATGAAATTGTCGCATCAATTTCACCCGCTACGAAATCTTAGTTTAAACGCGGCGGCAAACTATTGGAATCGGATATGAAGAGTTAGAGAATGGTGACGTTGAGAAATGAATATTTATTCAAATAAATGGACGCGAGGATTGCAGATACGTTAAAGCTGTCCTCTATGGAGGAACTCTGGCCCCCGGCACCCACCAACAGTCGCAAGCACAGACACATTCGTATTACTTAACTTGGCGATAAACTCACCCTTGAGACCTGTAAACCTCTAACTCCCTCCCGATGGTCCAACCTGCATTTTCGCCTGCATTAAACTACCTGATTTGTCGACCGTGTACAGACTTCTAAGCTGACCTCTATTGTACCTCCGAGTCTATCGAGACCTGTTTTGTGCCGGGTATGAAATATCATTGATTCATTATTAACGCATTTGCCAAATACAGGAAGCAATTTTGTTATTCCTTCTCTCTCTCTCTCTCTCTCTCGTGCACACACTTTCTTCATCTCTTTTCTCATCGTTTCATATTATATTTTAAAATAAAAATAGTATCAAAACAAAGGAAAGCGATCAATTGATTTCGTACGTAATTATTTCCTTACTGCAAATACGTGTGCTCTCTCGAATGTAAAAATGTCGGAATCTTTCAGACTTGTTCAAGATATAATCTATAAATAAAGTACCTATGTACTATACCTAAATTTAGAGTACATACGTAAAGTCAAATCAACTGACAGACATGCACGCACTCGTATTCAGTTCATTAGTAGTCCATCCTGAAGCGTTGAACAGTCACTATCGAATGAATTGTACTCATTTATTTTGTACTGGCTTAATTGGACCAACGGTGTATGCGGGCTCTTCTCGGGTACTTCTGACTGATCG